GAGCAAATCCATCTGGCGGAGTCAGGTTAGTACGGTGTGGGATCTGTGATGCTGTGGGCCTGGTTTTCCTCCAAAGAGAGAAGCAGAAACCAGGTGAAAAGAATCTGTCAGCCTGGGTCTTTCAGCATAATGATCTAAAACATTTTCAAATTAACAGGACACAAAAACAATCAATACCACGACTATCTCAGCACATAGATGGTGAAACGATTAACTAAAATGAAAGAGATTCTACTCCTGCAATAAAACATACATTTTCCCATAACTTTCCCAGAGGGGCAGTAAATCTGCGCACCGATGTAAAGCCTGATGCTGATACGAGACATGCTTCCTGAAAAAAAAAAAAAAAAGGTTTATAGACAATCATTAGGACCACTTTAGGATTTTTTGAAGAACATGTAAGAGTTGTATATAAAGCATTGACATCTGGTTATTAATCCCTTAAAATGAGCATTTTGTGCTATTTTCTTCAGCTGGTTAAATGCTTAAATATTTGTAGATGCCTCATCAGCATAACGTTTCCTGTTAGCTGAGTATGCGATCAGGGTAACGGTTGGATATATGCTTGGATGGATAAATAGGAAAGTCTTGATATGATGTAATTTCCTATGCTTCCATCTCCGAACCTGCTGTTCAGTTTTACCACATTGTCAAATGATGAATTTAAGCCGTTTACGCAAATGAGTTTGCATGTGTTCTTTTCTCTGAAAGAAAAACTACAAATCTGTTTTCACTATTAAACACTGATTAGAGCATCTGGACCGAAACTACTTAGATTTTCACTGTTTCCTCCACTTTGAGATGCCAGCTGCAGCGTTTCCAACAGCAGCCAGTCAGGCTGTATATATTGGCATAAGAATCTGCTTTCCTGTTCGCTGTCAGCAGAAATCTGTCCCGACCGTTGTTTCCACCTGGATGTAACTGGCATCATGTGTCAGAGCTGTCCCCAAATTGTCACTGGGGAAACAGAAGATGGGTCATATTGGAGCGGGGGAGATGTGTCATCTCTCACGTTAACGCTCCTCGGAGACGTGCCTCAGAGATCAAAGCGGATGGTGGGGTAGGATATTTCGGGGCTGCAAGCTGCCGAGCCCCCGCTCTGCATTTAGCAGGAGCATCTGTTGCATGAGCAGCGCCAATCAACATTTGTCTTTTGCGGCTGAAGACTTGACCTCGATGGGGGGAATTAGCTGTGCATCCACTCTTTCTCCTCCTGTTTGTTTTTGTAAACATGAGAGATGGCTGCGATGCTCAGGAGCCCAGCCATGTTTCTCCTGCAGGCCTGGCTGCACAGGTTGGGGAAAAGATGACAGCCATTTAGCTGATCCATTGGCTGGAGAACTCTCAGACTCTAATGCCAGCCCTCCCCAAAGCTTAGGATTTAATTTGAGCATGCAGCAACACAACTGTCATGTAAGTGGAGGTAAAAAAAAACAGCCTCCACGCTCATATTTCACCACCCTCCTTCAGAGGAGCTGAAGGTGAATGCAAACGCTGCTATTTCCCAGTTTATCCTGCCATAAGAAAACCATTTTCAGCCAAACATTGTCTCCTTCAGGCCGAGGTTCTGATGGTATAATAAGTCTCACTAAAAGGGCCTTGCTTTATGTTTGGGATCAAAGCTCTCTATATATGGTTTTAAAACACCTTAATTCAAACCGTATGTATGCAAATGAAACTAAAGGTGTCCTTTGTGTCTTCCGGACTGCAACAGATGTCAAATGCAGCAGAGGAGCAATAATGTTGGAAAAAAAATCAGGTTAACCTTGAGTAAAAAAGGGTAAACCAGGGTTGAGTGGATCTCCTTCTGCAGCAGCGATAATTAAGTCACTTCAGGTGCCCCCTCTCCTCAGAGGCTCGGCTCTTTGGGCTCGATCCTGCTCTGAAATGTCAACGATGATGAGTCCCCTTGTCGGCTCGCTGGAGACGAACGGCTGATTAGCTTATCACTTGGAGAGCAGGCGGCCGATGATTATCGCCCTTAGAGCGCCACGGCCTGATTATCGAGAGTCATTAATGACTCATGGTCCGCTTTGCATTGCACTGTTGTTGTTTTTCCATATTCATGTATATGATGCATTCCAGTACTGCTCCATGTTGGTTTTCATCCGTTTCCATTTCCTCCAAAGCGTCTCTGCATGTGGTTCTTTCTATTTCTGTTGTTTAATGATGGCTAGTGATTCTTACTTCGTTACATACAATTTCTAACTTAAATTTCCTTTAAGTTCTATGTTTTATGTCAAACCTTATGATTATGAAAGGTGCTTTAAATATAAACTGAATGAATGGCTCCTCTATCTGCTCATCCTTTTTGCTGTGTTTAAATGTATGTAATGTTAAATATGCATCTTCCTTAATTTGAGGTAGTAGTAAGGATAAGAAATATTTGGGTTTAGGTTGCAAAAATAGAGTCAAAGCTACTTACTCTTTGAATCTTGCCTTAAAGGCTCAATTCTGCCGTAAGTTCTAGTCCTGAACTCTTAAACTGCCTTAATTTCATGTAACAAGAAGTAAAAAAAAGGTATTGAATGTAGATCTATGCTTCTGGAAGCATAGTTCAAGTACTTTATGAATACTGTGGAATACTGCGGTGTCTTCTATCTAACTGAAGTTTAAAGGGTCAGTTTCAGTGTCTAGTTATGTTTTGGTCGTTAACGACCACTAATATTTATCAGGCGATAAAAAAAATATTAGAATATCTATTCTTACAGTTGGGTTGGGATCCGGATCTATGCTAATGATGACCGAGAACGAATCGTCTTCGCACCTGTGTAAGCGTACTTTAAAATTACCACACTGAATGTGACGTGCTGTTGGAGCCTCTTAAGAGTTAGATTAATTGCTAAATTATTAATGTTACACATCTATGGTTATGTAAATGGTAGATATATTGTCATTTATTTATTTATCTTATTTGACCCTCCACCTTGTCAGGCCTCCTCCTGCTGTGATTAACAAGCAGAAGCAGCTGCTGTGGTGGATCTGATTGTTTGGTGAAGGAGTGAGGAGTGAATCAGTTTTTTTCTGCCACCAATTAACATTTATATTTCCATTTTTTTGTAAGTCAACTTGGAGATTATTTCTGTTATTTTAATAAGTAAGGAAAACACATTCTGCCCTGAATTACTTTTATTTTCAAGTGACTTGAAAAGCAAAAAGCTTGATTTTTGGGAACTTATTAGGTTGCAAGAGTGGCGGTAACAAGTAGAAAAACTTCACTGATGACTTGAAGAAAAGTGCAAGGATGGGGGATTC